GGGGAGGGGTGTGATGGGGTGGTGGTGGTGGGGGAGGGGTGTGATGGGGGTGGTGGTGGTGGTGGGGGTTAAGGAAGAGGTAGAGGTAGAGGAGAAGGAAGAGGAAAGGGGAAGAAGAAGGAAGAAGGGAGAAGGTAGGAGGAAGAAGGAAGGAGGCAGAGAAGCATAAAAGAATAATGATTCTGTGGTATATATTCCAGTAGCGGTGAAATTGAGACTCTAAAATAACGATGAAGAACTGTGTGTGTGTGTGTGTGTGTGTGTGTGTGTGTGTGTGGTTATCTCTGTTCTTTCCTTATCCACCCCATCGTAATATTCTTCTTCTTTCTTCTTCTTCTACTTCTTCTTCCCCTCTTCCTCAGATTCTTCTTCCTCCCTCCCCCTCTCCTCCTCCTCCTCCTCCTCCTCACCCAGGGATCAAGAGAGAGACCAGAATAGTGGTTAGAGGTGTTCAAGGCAGCTGGCCAATCACACCCCAGGGAGCAGCGGTGGCACAGGAGAACACATTCTACTGGATAGATGATGATTATCTCTCTTCCTATTGGTTGCTGGCGGCAGATTGGATCGTTCCTGTATTCCCATTGGTTGAGGAAAAAAGACCCGTATTTTTAATAGTCTATAAGAAGATGCTGTGTTTTAATTGGTGGTTACGAGGGTGATTTGATCTTTCTTGTATTCCTATTGGTTGATATAAAGAGACCGGTGTTTTTAGTGAGTGTGGTGACTGGACGTGACAGATACAGTCTATAACAGTCACACAAACATACATATAATAACAGTTAGATTCTTTAATTGATCATCGTGTCTATGAGTGGGATAATAAACAGCACAAAGTTTCATAATTTGACCTTATTTGACCTAATGACCTAATTTGACCTTTTTATACCTAATTTGACAGTTAAACCGAAAATCATTTTATTTTTTAATTTTACCTAGCTTAATATAACGTGACCCTGTTTGACCTAGCTTGAGTTTGACCTACTCTGATAGCACGACCTGGTGTGACCTAGTATGACCTCTTAGCATTAACTGAGACACGACATTTAATCCGACCCACAACCGACACTCAGAAACTACACATAACGTATTAATTGTCTTCAAGTTGTTAAGGAAAAACCAGGTTAAGTAAGGTCATCGTGTACGAGGATATATTATAGGTCACACACACACACAACACACACACACACACACACACACACACACACACACACACACACACACACACACACACACACGGGGAGGAAGACACAGGAAGGTAAAGGTTAGCCACCTCCTTCTCCTCCTTCCTTTCCACAACCACCTTTCACCACCACAACCTCACTCCTCCAGGTATAGCCCTCCAGTCCCTCCTCCCACAACCTGCTGGATATTTATGATTTATGAAGAGCAAAAATATTGGTAAATGTCTTCTGGGTTCTGTTAACGAGACATCAGCTGGTTATTAAAATGTACAGTGCGTTGAAACTAGTGAACGCCGGGTGTCCAAACTGCATAGCTGTGGTTCCGGTGTGGCTTAGGCTTCAGATGCAGACCAACGCTGACAGATAGACTTAACACAAACAGACAGACAAACAGACAGACAGCTCCTAAGTCCCCCACAATGCATCTGAGGTACACGGGGGAAATCAACCATCATCAGAGTCAACAACGCAACACAGACCTGAGGCCATCAACCTCACGCTGGCACCAAAGTTGTGGTAAACATTTAGGTACTCATATGGTGGTGTGGTGTGGTGTGGTGTGGTGTGGTGTGGTGTGGTGTGGTGTGGTGTGGTTGTGTACAGGTATGGTAGTATGGTATTATGATAGTATAGCATAGTAAGGATGTGGTCGTCTAATAGTTTGGTGGTGTGATACGAGTCCTGTCTCTTTCTCTCCCTCTCTCTCGCTATCTACCCTCATCCCCTCTCCTTCTCTCTCTCTCTTCCCTCTTCTTGACCTCATTCCCCCTCTCCCACCTCGTATATCATACCCCCTGGGCCATTAATCATAACTCTACTCACCTTGGACGCTTGAGAAACAAACTCCAAAAGGGAATTTCAGCAGAGTCATCCCCTACCCATTGTTCTAACACTGAGCATGGCCTTAGGGTACTCGAGATAGTGAGGCTCGGGTGTCAAGTGCCTGGAGCTGGTGGGGTGGGGTGGGGTGTGTGGGGTGGGGTGGGGTATGGTGGGGTGGGGGTGTGGGGTGTGGGGTGGGGTGTGTGGGGTGGGGTGTGTGGGGTGTGGGGTGGGGTGTGGGGTGGGGTGGGGTGTGTGGGTGGGTATGGTGGGGTGGGGTGGGGTGTGTGTGGGGGTATGGTGGGGTGGGGTATGGTGGGGTGGGGTATGGTGGGGTGGGGTGGGGTGGGGTATGGTGGGGTATGGTGGGGTAGGGTGGGGTGGGGTGGTTCTTCAAGCATCTCCTTCTGTGTCGAGTTAAGGGATAGTATGTGCTGTGACCTATGATCTGAGGAACGTTTGATAGTGACCTATGAACTCAAGAACGTTTTAACAATGATTTAGGAACGTTTGGCAATTACCTATGCCCTGGAAAACGTTTTAATAATGAACTATGCCTTGAAGAACGTTTTAACAGAGTAACAATGATCTACGAACGTTTAGGAATGAACTATGCCTTGAAGAACGTTTTAACAGAGTAACAATGATCTACGAACGTTTAGGAATGAACTATGCCCCAAAGAACGTTTTAACACAGGTAAAATAATTTTCCTCAGGTTCAAGTAAAGGAAATAAATAGAAGGCATCAAATATTTCCTTCTCCCCCCCCCCTAAAACTGTATCACTAAACATAAGCTAAAAAGAATAAACCCTCAGAAGAAGAAAAACATCACCGAAAGAAAAAAAAGAAAGAAGGAACGAAGGAAAGAAGGAAGGAAAGAAGGAAGGAAGGAAGATGAGTGAAAGTAGCGCATAATATCAGCCACCGCCTCACTACCTTCAACACACTAATAGGATTAATCTGCTCCCAGACACTGTGTTTGTATATATCCTAGGCTGTGTACACGACAAACACACACACACACACACACACACACACACACACACACACACACACACACACACCAGATACCAGCCGAGCAATGTGACTCACTTACATTTGCCAGATTGGAAAAATGGATAGCTGGTGGATGTGCAAACGAGGGAA